CACTTTTCCCATGTGGAATCATTTCGTGCAAGATCACCTCTTATTGCAGGCAGCTTATCTAATATCATGGAGACTGTTCCATTAATAGCATCAAGTTGTTTGAGTGTTTCTAGCAATTGCACACAGTAAGCCAATTTTTCATAGAACTCATTTATTTTCTTAGTGTTGGCTGTAGCAATATGTGGTAGATCCAATATTTCTTTCACAAAGGTCTTCACGACTTCGCTTTCCTTCCGAACTGATCTTTCAGGATGGAAATTGCTCAGTTGTATCCTTCAGCAGTATGGGGTAGGGCTTCAATTGACCTTTTTGCTTTATCACATAACAGTTCTTGTAAATAGGCGAATTTGTTTATAGGAGAAATGCCCGATTTGTCAATAGTTTCTGAAAACAGGTTCCAAAATCTTGGCCAATCTGCATAAGTACCGTTAAATTTTGTTATATGAAGTTTTGGCAATTTCGCTTCAATGTTTTGCTTACTTCCGCTTGTATGCACACTTACTTCCGGTGTAATTTCAGATTGTAATTTCACCTTAGCTTCGTGTAATTTTAGCTCAAATTGTAGTTGTTTTTCCCGTTCTATTTCCTCTCTTTCTGCTTTCTCCTCGAGTTGTATTTTCTCCTTTCTCGCATCTTGTTCGTCTAACCATTGCTCTAAAATTTCAACCATACCGTCGGCTTTTTCCATCGTATTCTCTACGGTTTTATTCCACTCTTCGATCTCCTCGGCACTTGTTCCTTTGGAAATTTTCTCTGCTTCGACTGTTAATCGCAATTTATTTACCGCAGCTATTGTTTCTTTCAAGCTCTCTCCGTGTCTGGCAATCGCTCGTTTCTTGTTTCCATTAAGAATTGCATCACTTTTCTCGGTTGCCATTTGCAACTGTGTTATTTTGGTTTTTAAATCTGCCTCGGCCATCGCTAAATATCGCTTGTTTACGTTGATTTACGCTCTAAAAATCACTTGCGAGATCTCACTGTCCCATCCAGGGGTGCCACGTGTTGGAAATTCTTGTTTGAAGAAAGTTTTCACAACAAATCACTAGTTTTAAAGGTTTAATCACTCGAAATACAAAGTTACTTTTCTCTCAGAATCACAGTTTCAATATAATCCCATTGCATGCAACCCCCCGCTGCGTTACGTCATAGCATGCATAATTTAACATAGTTAATATGAATAGAGTATCTTATCTTTCGGACAGGTTCTATCCTTTAGTCGTTGGATGAATCTGAGAACATACATACGCTATAACACGTAGTACCGTAATTTGGTCAAGGAACAAAATTTTGAACAATCGATGACCTTTGATACATCTTGATAGGACGAAACTTCTTCGATATTAACGAAAGAGTACATTACGTAACATTTGGAGGAGTTTTCACCAATTCGTTAAGACTTGTATCATCAATTTCGTCTGATTGCATTGAATTGGCCCATTCACATTCTGGTTTCTTCAGGAATGCAGGTCCTTCCCGCCCTAAACGATTGTCGATTAGGTCGTTAGGAACCACGGGAAGGTATAGATCAGCGGGATTTTCGCTACCTGGGCAATGTTTCCATCGTTCTTTCGAAGTAAGTTGTCGAATTTTTTGCACACGTTGTCGTACATACTGTTTCCATGGTTTGTCGTTCTGTATATCCATCGGAGAGTCGTTGTGGAATCTGTTGAATATAGTAAATGACTTTAATTGTGTCGTCGATTGAGAGAGAACGTAAGATAGAGTGAGTCAGTCTCGCTGAAATTACAGCACTCGAAAGTTCCAACCTCTCGTCTTCGAAGCTACCAGGCAGATTTCTACGTGTCGATCAGCATAAATTGATCGTAGATAGCTCACCGCAGCACAGGGTTTCTTCGACGCATCAGAAAAAGAATGGACTTGTACATGCCTGTCAGATGTTGGGATCCTAGGTAGCGGCGCTACCTGCAAGTGCCTGAGCTACAGTAACTGCAATCCTTGATCAGAAGGTCTTATGTATGCTTAAGTGAGGTAGAAAATTTCAATTTTTCCGAATACATTTTGCAATATTTAGCGACCAGATTTAATAAGAGTCGTATTCAAGACGTAAATTCATCAAATGATGCCATCAAAAACTTAAAATATTTGAGAAAATGTTCTTCGAACAGTCGTGTTGTTAGCTTTCTTGATTTCCATTCATGGCCGAATATTATTACAAATAGTGGAAACCGTTTGAGCAAATTAGCGGTGCCCGGTCTCCTGTCGCAATTTGGAAGCTTCAAGCGAAGTGGGCAAGTTTGGACCACGCAGGGCTAACTGCAATTTTTTTGGGCTAACTGCAAATTTTTTGGGGCTACCTGCAAAAAAAACTAAATATACAGGCATGGACTTGTATGTTGATTGGCTGGAATGTAGTGTTGAAATAATATCGTTGCACTTGAACACTTTGTTGGGTAATTAGCTCGTTTATAAAGGAATTCCATCTTTCTTAGTACGGCTCTTGCAATTCCTCGTACCAATCCATTTCTTTTCACACACATCGATTGAAAAAGGCACTTCAACACTATGGTAAATGGACTCAGAACACCCAATGGATCAAACAGCTTGGCAGTTACATTAAGGAATGATCTCCTTGTTAAAGGGAGAGAATCTTGCTAGTTGGACCAACCCCATGTACCTTCACTAACTTCTCTTCATTACGAGCGCTGGTGCCAACTGTTGATTTAGTGTAGGATTCGTCTTCTTCTGTTACACTTCCTTCAGGCTCCTTACTGATGGACGTAGAATTATTTAGGCTTTAAATCTTTAATCCTCTTCTTTATTGATAAACTCGAGCCGTTGAGAAGATAAAAGTCATCGACATACATAGATTTCTTTATCAATTCAACAGGATCAGCATCACGTTTCTTATTTCTATCCAAATGATGATCAAGGACTGCACCTACTGTAATATAAATGGAGACGGTCGCAATCCAAACATCAGGCGGCAAAATCGTAGGTGAATGAATTCCCCTTGATGATTCTTCATCCACAGAAAGCGTGGCATATCTCGCTCTTGGGGATGAATGGCAACCATCAAAAAGGCTTTCTCTATATCTGCCCAGACTGCAAGGGATTCCAATGGAATCGTAGTAAAACATCGAGCAACTGCGGGATATAGTTTGGTCCTGTCTCTGAACAATCATTCAGCGCATATTCTTTACCTTGTGATTTGGCCGAACCATCATGTGCGGCACGTTGCTTAGTTGTCTCTGGGTTTTGTCGTGTAACTGCATATGGTGTGGTACAGATAATGTACATCTTTGTGTTCTCGATCTTTAATTTTCTTCTCTGGAACTTTTTCGATGATACCGGACGAAAGCTGTTCCTTAATAATCTGGTCATATTCATTGAGAAGTTCTGGTTTCTTGTGCAATTTGAAGTGCATTGATCGTAGTCGGTTACAGGATAACTCATAGCTGTCTGGTATTCGCAAGCGGTCACTTTTCCTTGGTAATTTGACTTCATCACGGTTTTCCTGGCGATGATGCATGATTGGGGACTTCATCTGTCTCATGGATATACCCATCGAATCGGATTCCCCGAAACGTTTAAATTAAGTGTATCAACCAGATATTTGTCTTCATGACGGTACGTCAAAGGTGGATCTTTCACTGTTTCCGGAAATTATGAGTTTTGATTGCAGATGACTTGGTATATAGCTGCATGAATCATCCAGAGTACCTGAAAGTTACAGCAACAGGATCTCCTCTCTGCATTTCTCCCATGACCAAATGGCAATAAAAATCGGACCCAATAAGAATGTCTATTGGCAGGGTTCGTGGTCTCCAAGACCAAAAATATTCGAAGACTTTCAAAGATTTTTTCTGCCTATTTTCAAGGACTTTTCAAAGACCTTTGAGAGCAATCAGCTGTCGAAAAATTGCGAGTGTAAGCACCATTCTTACTAGTGCTGTGCGCCGGAGCTGCCGGAGTTCTGCCGGAGCTCCGGCGGTTTTTCCGACGCCGGAGCAGAATTTTGTATGCCGGAGCCTGGAGCCAGAGTTACGTTTTCCCAGCTCCGGCAAAATGACAAGAAAACAATATGAAATGAGACAAATGTCAAACGATTGTTAGTTACTGCAAACTGCCAATTGCTGTTAATGAGTTCATCATAGACTCAAACTGCCACAGCCCACAGGAACAGCGTCGAAAAGCTGTAATACAATCGCAACTTACAAACGTCATGCTTTCATGAAGCCATCTGACTTAGCGCTACATAGTCTGTGTATTCATGCCTTGTAGATAACGAAAAAGTACGAAACAAATAAATATCAACCTTTTGAAAATGACAGAATACTTTGTTTGCGTGCGAACAATTGCGCTGTGGAGTCTGAGAGTGTTAGCGTCATGCCTCGCGTCATGCTATATAAAAATTGCAACATAGATAGGCTGGTTTCCGTATAGATATTTTCTGTGTGGTTAAGTGTTTTCACTGTTTTGGTTCCTGAGTTATGTTACCTGATAATTAGGAGTTTATAGACAGATTTTGCAGATTAAAGATGCTGGAAGCGCGAAAAGGGTTATTCATAATAATATTTAACAATTATTCGAATAATTGTTTTAGTATTTTTACACAAGTTTTTTGTGTTTTTTGGGACTGAATTTATTTTAATTTCGCTTATTTCTTTATCCGTAACTTCCACAAAACGGCTTGGCGGCCATTTTGAGAATTTCGGTTTTGTTATATTCACTTGTAGGTGAATATAACAGCTTAATACGTCAAATTTGACCAATCAACTTGTAGGATTTGTTATGTTCACTTGTGCAAAAATACTAATAATAAATGTTCTCTGATCGTAAAATATCGTAAAATTTTTTACCCGGTAATTATATAGTTCCGTCAAATCACATCCTGCACCTTTTCGTTGATGTTTGCGAAAATCTTGCTTCGATCAATCGGTTTTATTAGCTAGGAAATTGTATAATCAAGTACCCACTAAAGATTTTAGATATTTTTAAAGACTTTCTTCGCCTTTTCACACAATTCAAAGACTTTTCAAAGGCCTTAAAGACCTGAATTCAAATTTACAGATTTTCAAGGATTTCAAAGACGAACCCTAGCTTATAGGGTCATTGTCACCGTGTTCGAAATTATCAGCCAAAACTTTCTAAATGTCGGAATTCGTCGAGGTTGACTTTGCTGGGTGACTGGAAAACTCGTAGCCTTTATCTTTATACTTTGCCATGATCTTTGTCTTGTCGCTGCAGTTCTGCCAAATCACAATTACACAATATTGCTTTCGAAATTTAGAATTACCAAGAGATTCAATCTTGTCAGGCTATTGGGAGTATTGCTGACACGCCGGCTACCGCTATCAAAAAGGATTCTTACTTTGGCTGACCTTGAACCATGGGAATTGGTTGCTGTGGTTGTCGCTGTCTGTAGGAGGACAGTCGCTTTCTTCTTCAAAGTGCTTGTAGTTGTGGTATCACGCACTTCGGATCGGTAGATTTGTTGTTGCTGTTCTCTTCATTGGCATTTTGTTTAGGATAGCTTGGGCTGTTAAAAATAGACTGATGATGTCTCTGTTTCCAATATCGACAATTCTTTGTGCTCTGACAATTTGACAATCGGTGATCAACTCTAAGGCAATTAAAACATCGATTAGTCTTGCAAAGAATGGCTTTGCGGCTTTCTGGGTCGGTTATTTTCTTGCAAGAGGCTGAATCGTGTGGTTCCTTACAGTACGCAGAACGAATGTTAAAGTTCTGGTCATCATTAGAAAGGAAAGAACCAGCCGTTGGTTTGTTACACTGGAAAGCACCTCCAATCATCGGTACCATATCAGCAGACTGCATGCATGGATCCTCTCGCTCGCCTCCCTCGCTTCTACTTCTTTGATAATGTCTAATTCAATTCATCAATCTTCCACATATCTTGAGTTGATTTTCTGGCGATTTGGAGTCGAATTTCACTTGGAACCTTTGACATAATTACTGGTATGAGTAAGCTGCCACACTCATCTGCAGAAATACCCAGCGTTGATAACCCCTGGTAGACGTGTCGTAGACTAACCTTAATGACTGAGTCTTGTCGTTTGTACAATTTGGTATCTTTAGCAGTTCGTCCATATGGGCACTCACAATTTGTTGTGGTTTTCCAAAGCGCTTTTACAAAATTTTGATTGCAGATTGACTAATCACATTGCCAAGATCTGTTTTTCTCTTCGCTTCGCGCGAACAAATTCGCCTAGTGGAAAATGGGCTTAACGCGCGCCGTCGAACGTCGTCAGTCCTCATCGGGTCATCACATCACTCGATCGAGTCAAACTATCAAGGAAAGCTGTTACCTTTAGTTATTACAAAATCTAAAAGTTAACCAACCTAAAAAAGCTAAAATATCTGTTAAAAATATACGATAGCTTATTCTGTCGCGTATTTGTATGACTATATATGTCACTTTTTCACAAACTAACTTTTACGATTTTCAAATAACGAGAATAGTTTCGCTGTTTGAACAAATAAACTAAAAAAATACTTTATATTTACGTAAATCTGTAACCTTTCTTATGGGCAGTTACAAAGGACAGACTACTTCGTTATGCAAAAAAAGCAAACTGAGATTGACATGCTGACCTTGCAGTGATTGCGTATATAAGGGGACTGAAACGGATGTACAAAATGGCATGGCGGACTAACTATATAATCTACGTAATACTCTGGCCGAAAATATGAAAATATGTTAAGTCGAAGATTAGGACTATGCAACCTAAGCCGTCTTTATTTGTCATAACTATATCATATACTTCTCAGGTGAAAATTTCTCAGGTGAAAGTTTCTTAGAAGAACCAGCATATGAATGCAGTATTCAGATATATTAGTAGACAGTTTGTCCCTTTTAATATTCCAGGAAAATGCTGCAATTGCAGATGAGATAGTACGAACAGATGCAAAGTTTCAACGTGCAAAAGTGGAGCGAAAGTAAGTTAAATTATTTAGCATATTTGTACAGTAGATACACTATACAAAGTTTTAACGGTCAGATATGCTGTTGCCATGTAGTATAGATATATTTACAACTATTTCAATTACAGTATGGTTGTCACAAGGAATTATCATATGTACAATCCACGGGCGAAAAGTGCAATGAGAATGAAGTATTTCAGGGATATTTTAAATTTGTGCGATTGGGTGGCACACAGTCCCCTGGCACACCTAACCCAGTTTTATTCTGAGGCAACATAGAGCTATCTGCTAGGAATCTGGAATGTCACTTACTGTGCGGTTACTGGACAGACAAACCAAATTACTGTCTGGAACTATTAATAGTATATAGTTTGATATAAGTAATTTCTCGTTTCTCTCCAAACTTTTCCCTCGATGTTCACCTAAACGATAGCTCATGCGTATTTCCTTACAGCAAGACTTATACGATGGAGAAATATTTTCTTGACAGTAATAATGCGGTAGCAAGTGAAAGTAGAAGCTTTTTACTTACACACTTCAACCGTTTGTCACTAATTTGTAAGTCTCTATGCGTTTTATCGCCAAAATGAAATGAAATGAAATGAAATGCAAACCCAGAAAAGTATAGGTGTCTTTTTTGGGGGAATTACGAAAACAAAAACACGCGAAAGAAAGAAAATTATCAGCTAATGCATGCCAACGCTTGCGTTATTTGCCGAAGCCGATGGTAATAAACACGAGCACAATGTTTGACAATTCTTTATGCCACGGGAATACCGAATTATTTACGGTATCCTTGTTTTATTATTGATTGTAATGATGTACAGGACTTCTCCAGGACCTCAGCTACTCTAATTTGGCAAGCTTGCACAAGCATGATAACGCCAAAGTGCATTTTTGGAAGGAACAACTTCATGCAGGAAAATTCGAAAAGCTTAAAATATACCAAACCCATTGCTACCTCAGAAACCCGTGTAGAAAGCGCGAACTCATTTGGCTCGTCGCCCTTAATTTTATTTTTTCCTCTTTGCATTAGCGAAATTATTTTACCATATGCTTTCAACAAACTTATATGTGAATAAATCAATGAATTAAAAAGCTAATCAAGGCAGATAACAAAAGTATAATACATGTATAAGTCGGACTTTGCGGAAGTTAACCTTTGATCCCTATAATGTTTCAAACATTCAGCAATGCATGTTATAAAACGGTGTTTATATATAGACATGCATGAGAATATATGAGAATGTATTTGCTGGTGCCTTTGCTGTAGATTTCTGCTGAAACAGTTAGTGGAGTATCGGTCAATGCCTCGTGAGCCACTCCCACCTCCAGCCAACCCTTTTGTCCCAGCTCCCCCTCCAGAGATCCCGGTTGATCCTCCTCCAGAAATCAAATTACCTCTTGCTATTCCACCGCCCGCGAAATCGAAAGCTATTAAAGTTCGGATCAAAAAGGTCGCCCCGCCGACGAAATCTAAGAAAGAAACTGAAGGTTCTGCGGAAGCGAAAGGAAATACAGAAGAAACGAAGTCTGACGAAGGTAAATAATCTGTTCCATTACAATACAGAATATTCTGCTGGCACTAATAAAAGGTACAAGAAAATGAAACTTCCTCGC